TTCAGCCAGGTGGAAGGGATGCCTGGATTCTGGAAGGGTCAGAAGCCACTAAGGTATGAAATTTAATCCAGAAGGGACAAACAAGCACCTGAGAATTAATTTTAAGGAGGAGACTGTGATACTCCTATCAATAACTATAATCCCCACAGTTACAACTTTGATGAAGCCTGAAATATTATGAATACAGTCAATAGTGTCGAAGAAGAATTATGCTCATCTTATGGCAGGGAGAAGGTATTTGCTCCCTAATCCTGCAACAACCAGATTAAATAAATTTCCATAGGAAAACAGGCTCTTACAACAGTTTTGCCGAGGTAGGCAACTTCACAGAGAACATAAGACCTCCAGCTATCGGCAGCGTCCACAAACCCGTCTTCTCTTGGATAAAGGGGGACACGGACTGGGATGGTTTGTACATTCGACTTGTGGGAGCTGTGAGTAATCAGGAGTTCCGTTGCTCACTCAGAAAGGGCTGGAGAGTCAGCACTGAGGTTGACCAGCCCTGCTCATTTCTTTCGAGCAAGTTTCCTACCCTTTCTGGCCCTCAAAGTGAAGAGCAGAAGTCGCTTAGTCGTGTCCAACTCTTTGCGACCCCAGAGACTATATAGTCTGTGGAATTCTCCAGGCCAGACTATACAGTCTGTGGAATTCTCCAGGCCAGGAATTCTCCACTGGAGTGGGTAGCCTTTCCCTTCTCCAGCAGATCATCCCAACCCAGGGATCGAACCCAGGTCTCCCACATTGCAGGTGGATTCTTTACCAGCTGAGCCACCAGGAAAGCCCAAGAATCCTGGAGTGGGTAGCCTATCCCTTCTCCAGCGGATCTTCCTGACCCAAGAATCGAACCAGGATCTCCTGCACTGCAGGCGGATTCTTTACCAACTGAGCTATGAGGGAAGCCCTCTGGGCTTCAAAGGTGGCATCGGCATTACGGGATCATCATAAGATGGATGGAGACACGCAGGGCAAGCACTTAGCTCTCTGCCGTACACGATGCTCAATGGAGCGGCTGCATCATGGAAGGAAGGGGGGCCCCTGCCCCATCTTCCCAGGTCCCCCACATCCCGAAGCTCAGCCCTTGAACACCCCCCGTGAGTGCCCTGACCCGGGATGCCAGGCAGAGTTCTCCTGTCGAACACTGGGACTTCTCCAAACCCTCAGAGGAAGCCACACAAACCACCAATGGGGCCAGCAGGGCACTCGGTTCCCCTTGAGCTGCTGCCTGGTGGGTGTGGAGACATAAGACCAGTTAGAGGCTCAGCCATGGCCCAGCTGAATAAGCTGGCTGGGTTGTCATCCGCATCACTGTTCCACTGCTGGCAAGCTGAATTACAACATGCAATTGCTAATAGAGACTTTACCCGTGCAAGAAGAGCAAGCTTTTTTAGCTAACAAGAAAGGCAGCTGATGCGTTTACCTCAACCCCATCAACTCCAGATGTGCTTTTTAAAGAGCTGGAGCGGGGACTCTAGGCAGGATGCTCAGCCTGGAGACAGCTGGTCCCAGCTCACGTCCAGGTATTGAGAACACCTGGGGTGCCGGCCACATCTGGGGGACACCCCAGAAAACTGATGGGGTAAATCTGAGAATGGTGGGCAATGCCTCCTTAAGAATCCAGATACTGGAGGAAAAAAGTAAATCTCTCTCAAGCAAATATTTGAAAAAACACTTTCTTCTTTTTTGGCAAGGTGAACCGCAACCCACTCCAGTGTTCTTGCCCGGAGAATCCCAGGGACAGAGGAGCCTGGTGGGCTGCCATCTATGGGGTCACACACAGTCGGACACGACTGAAGTGATTTAGCGGCAGCAATGTTTCAAAACAAGACTAAGAATTAAATCACACGTCCCGTGCCTTCAAACAGGGTCACAGACCCGCTCAGAATTGGGATTCTTGGTAAGCCCTTTCAACTAAAAGCTATACAATTTGGTCCATCATTAAGAGATTTTCCAATCCAGACTCTCTGGGAATCACTTTGAAACAAGCACAAGCAGAAACTTCCTTCCCTTCAGTGAGCCCGTTCCTCTCTTCCACAGCAAAAATGCTTCAAGATGCCAGAAAACAGGAAAAGTTTCTGTAAATTATGGCACAGTCAAATGCTGGAATGTTATGCCAAGGTGAAGAATCATTATCCTCACAATTTTTCATAACATGGAAAAGCACTCACACTGTGCCAATCAAGTAGTTTTGTGAATCTGACTCCAATTCTGTGCATCTACACACAGAGACAGAAAATAAAGCCTGGCTGGACATCCTCTAAAACGCAGATGATCTTCTCTGTTCACTGCGACAAGCGATTCTTAAACGATTGACTATGACGCGCATATACTTCAAAATTCTAAGAAGTGTACATTTTGCCACAGTACCATCCTCCCCTGCCACGTTCACAGGCAGAGGCAGATGTGTGTGTTCTGTGTGTTCCTCAGGGCTACTGGGATGCTCCAGAGCGCAAGCTCCTGGCACAGAGCTCTGACAAACGTGTCCGCAGTTTGCATACCCCAGGGCCATGCTCCCCGACCCGGGGTGAGGGAAGAACCCATGACCCATGCCCTACACAACAGCAGGAAACTGCTTCTGCGTACTTCTCTCGTCACAGGAAAAATGTCGTCCTGCCACAATTGAGCAATCTTCTTGGCTTCCAAGATATCAATGGCATAGATATAAATCACAACTGCATCTTAAAACTGGCACATCACTTCTCGGCCTTTTGGCTAAGATCAAGTGTAAAACTGGCACGGAGTGGGGGAACAGTTCATTGTAACAATGAGATTTCATTAGTAGGAGCGGCGGAAGGTGGCTGGGAAGGCGGGGTGGGGGTGGAGGGGAAGCCTGCAGACCTGGTTTCCAAGGATCCTTTGGTTCAGACTCACCTCTGACCTCAGTCAAATGTTCAGGAGGTCATTAACCTTCCCTGAAGCTCCATCCTCTATAAAATGAAGCTGGCCCACATTCTCCCACAGGGTCGGGACTGCCACACAATGAGCTTGTGAATATAAGAGCATCCTTGCTAAAGTTCTTCTGTACAAATGAAAGGTGCGATCATTGTTAGTAACGCAAAGAAGGGAGGCATATCTGAATGGTTCTTAAAGCCTCATTAAATAAACCACAGCCCTGACACAATACAGACATTCCTTTTTCTTTTAAGAGAAAAAATAATAGCCTTGTCAAAGTCCCAAGCAGGATTCATCACTGATTCTGAGTCTCATCAACAAACGACAAAGCTTCCAGCCAAGAAAGAGCTTAAAATCTCAGAGAGTACAGGCAGACAGACATCAAGCTACCAGAAACCATCATCAAGGAACCACACGGATTTTGGGGTTTTTTTTCCAAAACAGAAGAATGAAACCACATCCTCTTGCTAGAAAGTCAAACTGTGGCGTGGGGAGCGCCTGAGACCCCAGAGCTGGGCTTCAAGACGGGAAATGGACCCGAGGCAGCAGGAAAGATGCTCCGATGAGGTCTTTGCATGGAGACTAGGCACTCTCGGCCAGGTGCATCCAACGCTCAGGATCAGCTTTCTGAGAGTTTCATCAGACTCCCGTGGATGCTGCCAAGAGAGAGAGAGCGGCAGGGGGCCTTTCACATGAGTGGCCACCGCGCCGGAGCCCAGACCCTGAAGGGGCGTTCCTGCCCGCTCGCCCAGCATCAGCAGCCCTGCGCTGGTCCCCCAGGGCCTCCCACAAGTCCTGCCAGAGGCACACGGGAGCCTCTGCCTCTCGAGGAATCTGGAAGCATCTTAAATTGCCAGTGGGGCGGCAGGTGCTCTGACAGCCAGGCCCACAGAAGGCTGGAGCACCGTCCAGATCTTTCCCAGAATTAGCAAGCCCCCTATGGAGACAGGACGCCGATCGGGCAGCCGGGCTGGGACGCGGTTCAAGTCCATGGGGCCACCAGATGCCAAGGGCATAGACACCACCTTCTCCATCTAACGGGCCAGGCATCAAGCCCAGTCACTCTGGGGTGAGCCGTTCAGGCGGCACAGTGCCCTGGCAAGACTGCCCCCCAGCCAGGCCAATGCCCCCTGCTTACAGATGGACCGGAGCTAGGCGATGCCTATGCTGGGCTTTGGGGACACTCCTGGTCAGGCCTCAGAACATCCTCAGCGCTCCTCAACGGCGGCCAGAGGGCCTCTTGCTTGGGACAATTCTATGTTATGGACAACCCACCCTTCAGACCTTTTACCATCACTGGCCAACGGCAATGAGAGGGGGGAAGCAAGGGGATAAGCTGGAAGCCCAGTAGCAGAGAAATAAGAACCACAGGGATCCAGAGAAAACACAGGCCCCAGAAAGGCCGAAGTCCGCGGCACCTCTCCTGAGAACCTCTGCCTCGCCTGACTTGCAGGAAGCGCGGGTGACATCCCAGTGCCAGGCATGTGAAAGTGACCCCCCCCCACCACCACCAGGGAGCGTTCTTCTGATCTGATCCAGGATGTCGGTAGAAAGCACTCTGTAGAGGAAACCAGCCTCTGCGCAGGGACAGGTGGGTTGGACCTGCGACGCTGCCAGCAGCCGGGGCTGGCTCTCCGCTGGGGCTAAGTTCCGTTGCCTCCACTGTGCCCCCGAAATGGGCAAACACACCAAAGGGGTTGGCCCTACCCTGCGGAGGAGACCCGCCAGCCAGAGCCTCGCCCCCAGCAGCACCACTTCTCCAAAGACCTGTTCAACGTCCAGCAAGACGCTCGGCCGAGCGGGGGCTTACGGCTGGGCCGGGTCATTCGGCTGGCCCAGGACACGGCCGCACAGAGTCACTTTCTCAGCGGAGACTCCACAGCCCATTAGCACATTATCGCCAGCGATCCATCTCTGGCGGCGCGCTCGCCGGTCCTCTCGGCCTCCCACTCTGCTCTCGCCCGGTCTTGCGGGGTGAGAAGCACCGCAGTGCCCACTCGGCGGGGCAGCCGCGTGCCATGGCCCGGCGCGTGTGTACACACGCACGCACACACACGCTCGCGCGCGCGCGCACCCGCCCTCCAGAAGCCCCGCGGCGGCCCGGCCCTCACCTTCGATGGCGATGACGTGCTCCCGGATTTGGTTCTGCAGCACCGGCTCCTCCACGCGCTCCAGCAGCTCGTAGATGGAGTAGATGTTGGGGTGGACCGACTCGAAGCGCTGGATCTCGGCCCGGATGGCAGCCGAGTTGGCCAGCTGCTGCTGGTAGTTCATGGTGCAGGCGCCGCGCCCGGAGCCGCGCGCCCCCCGCCGCCGCCGCCGCCCCGCGTCNCCGCTGCGTCCTCCGCGGCGCTTCCCAGCGCGCCGGATCCCGGGGAATTGCGCCAGGCCCCGCCCCGCGCCTGCCTCTGGGCTTCCTGGGACTTGTAGTCCGCGCCGCGTCGGGGCCCCGCCGGGACTGCGGGGAGGGGCGCGCAAGACGCCCCCGGGCCGACCGGACCCTGGGGCGAGGGGCGGGGCTTTCCGACGCGCGGCCCCGGCTCCCGCCCACGGCCCCGGCGCTGGTCCCGGCGCCTCGGCCCCCGGGAGGCGGTGCGCGACCCCTCCCGCGTTTTTGTTTCTAAGTGCCTGGTTGGAGGAGCCGCTGCCGCTCGCCTTGGCCCCCGACCGCGCTTTGTTATCTCGCCTGCCCCAACCTCATTTTTAAACTTTCTGTCCCCTTTAGCGAAAGTGACACGAGTGCTTTCTCCTTAATAAACTTAAATTTCTTTCCGAAGGCAAAGAGTCTCCTTAGCCGTGACGGCGCGGGCACTCACACTCCACGAGTGTACTTTGGAGCGGCACGCGGCGAGGTGCGGTGAGACCATGGAGGCTCCCTAGGCGTCCTTTTCCCTTAAAATTTAAAAAAAAAAAAAATGAGATGTAGGTCTGGGAAGCTGCAGCCCGCTCTGCGTGGGTCCCCAGGCTATGCACCCACCCCAATCCCCGCGTCAGTTCCGCCCGCAGGTCCCCGGGGGTCGGACCGCAGGGCAGCAGGGGCCCCAGGGCGCAGGGGGGCTAATCCGAAAGGTTTGAGGCAAACCGGACGTTGCAGAGGTGCTGCGCTCTGGGGCCAGGTTTGCGCGCACCTACAGGCCTGGGCCCTGCCCCCACCCGTCCAAGTGGCCTTTGGGAAAGAGGGCTCTGCCGCCTGTCGTCCCTGATGAAAGCCCACTGACCCTTCACCGGGTTCAGTTGCAGCCTGTGTGGTTTCCGGACGCTGGTACCCGGCATCCTTGAGTTACACTCTCTGGGCTCACAATTCCCCCAGAAGAATGTGCCGTCTGCCTTCAACACTCACAGCCTTTGCTCACCCCCTCCTGCCTCACCCCAATCCCTCTCGTGTATCTGACGCACTGAGGCACAGTTCATGGCTCCCTCTGTGATGCGCCTCTGGCTAATCTCGCATCCTCAGTAACTGTGGTAAGCCGACAGTGTGGCTTCCTCTTTCTCAACCTTTCAGCGGTCAGTGATCCCTCCCCTCCTTGAACCCCTCTTCTCCTGGCTGCTGGGACAACAGTTCCCAGACTTTCCTATTATCTTCCTGGCTTGTCAGCCCTCTTACCCTCTTAAATACAGAGAGCTGCTGAGTCTCTGGGTCTCTTCTCTCTTCTGTATGTGGGGGTTTCTATCTTGGGCTTTGAATGTCCTATACAGGTTCAATTCAGTTCAGCCACTCAGTTGTGAACAACTCTTTGCCCCCCCATGGACTGCAGCACACCAGGCCTCCCTGTCCATTACCAATTCCCGGAGTTGACTCAAACTCTTGTCCATTGAGTCAGTGATGCCATCCAACAGTCTCATCTTCTGTCATGCCCTTCTCCTCCCACCTTCGATCTTTCCCAGCATCAGGGTCTTCTGCAGGTTAGTGAACCTCAAATTCATATCCAACTGTCTCTTCAACATCTGTTGGATGCCTGCTGGCAATGTCAGTCTGACTTGTCGCAAGCTGATCTCTTGCTGTGCTCTTCCCCTGCTCCTCCTGAAATTTCCTCCATCCTAGTTATGGATGGCTCAAGACAGTAAAGCCTCTGCCTGCAATGTGCAGGACCCAGGTTCCATCCCTGGGTGGGGAAGATCCCCTGGAGAAGGAAATGGCAACCCACTCCAGTGCTCTTGCCTGGAAAATTCCATGGACAGGGGAGCCTGTTAGGCTACAGCCAATGGGTCGCAAAGAATCAGACACGACTGAGCGACTTCACTTTCACTTTTCAGGCCTCCTTTTGCTGGGGCTGACCATCTGCTGCCATCCTTGGTGCCTCTCTCCCACATTCCAAATAGTGTCAGCTTGACCTCTCCAAGACCTAGAATCTCCAGCTTCTCGCCACCCCACTGCCCCCACCCTGCTGAACCTGCGGTCTTCTTGCCTCTGTGTTGTTGCTAGGAAATGGATCTAGCAGTTTGTCTCCTTGCTTCTTACCTTGTACCTTATCGTTTATTCTCAAGAGGGCAGTCCTAGTGACCTTTATAAAACTCAAGTTAGGTCATGTTACACCTCTGCTCAGAACCCTCCTGTAACTCCTGTCCCACTCAGAGTAAAATCCAGCTCCTTCCTCTGGTCTCCAAAGCCATACACGCACTTGTTGTTCAGTCACTAAGTCATGTCTGTCTCTTTGCAGCCCCATGGACTGTATAACCTGCCAGGCCCCTCTGTCCACGGAATTTTCCAGGCAAGAATACTTGAGTGAGTTGCCACTTCCTACTCTAGGGAATCTTCCCAGTGCACGGATTGAACCTGAGTCTCCTTCATTGGCAGGTGCATTCTTTTACCACTGACGCCACATAGAATGCCTCCTCTGATAACCTGTCTAAAATGGCATCCTTCTTCCCCAGCAATCCATGTCTTCCTTCCTTGCTGTGGCAGGAAAAATAATGGTCCCCAAAGATGACCACATCCTAATCTCTGAAATGTGTAAATATGTTATCTTACATGGCTTTGCAGATGGGATGAAAAGGGGCTTTGCAGATGGGATGAAATTAATGATGTTGAGATGAGATTATTCTGCGTCCAGTATAATCACAAGGGACCTTATAAGTGGGGAGGCATCGGGGTGAGAGTCAGAGGAGGAGCTATGAAGACAGATGCATGTCTGCAGAGAGAGAGAGAGAGAGAGGTTGGAGGATGCTTCACTTCTGACCTTGAAGTTAGAAGGAAGGGGTCATGAGCCGTAACACAGGTGGCCTCTGGAAGTTGCAAAAGGCAAGAAAATGAATTCTCCTAATGGTTCCCCTGCTATTGTTCAGTCGGTAAAGAAACTGCCTGCAATGCAGGAGATCCAGGTTTGATTCCTAGGTCAGGAAGATCCCCTGGAGGAGGAAATGGCAACCTACTCCAGTATTCTTGCCTGGAGAATCCCATGGACAGAGGAGCCTGGCAGGCTACAGTCCATGGGATTGCAAGAGTCAGACACGACTTAGCGACTAAACCACCACCAACCTTCCAGAAGGAACCCAATCCTGTCAATTCATTTCTGACTTGTGACCTCCAGAACTATAAAATAATAAATTTGTGTTGTTTACACCACTCATTTTGCGCTAATCTGTTACAGCAATGATAGGGAGTTAATATACTTGCTTCATTTTTTTCTTAACCCTTATCCCATCCTGATACAGTACATACTTTATTGACTTCTCTTGGGTGTATTCTGTGTTCCTCATGAGAACATAAACTCTATGAGGGCCAGGGTTCCTATCTGCTCTATTCCCTGTTCTATCTCCAGCACCTTTAAGTGTCTGACACATGGTAGGTGCAGAATCATTGCTTATCGGATTAATGGCTTCCCCCATCAAATTGTAATTTCCATAAACACCTGGACCATTTTCCTTCTGCATAGTCCTGGAATATTTCTGCATGAATATTCAACAAGTTAACCAATGAGCAACTACCTCTCCTACTGCAAGCGCTCACTTCTCATCATACTGGGCATGTAGTAGATGTTCAATAAATATTAGCTAAATTTAAATGAATGTTAGGGGACTTCCTCAGTGGTACAGTGGCTAAGACTCCACAATCCCAAGGCAGGGGGCCCGAGTTCCATCCCTGGCCAGGGAACTAGATCCCACATGCCATATGTAGTTGGGAGTTCATGTGCTGCAACTAAGATCCCACGTACCAAAACAAAAAAGATTTGCATGTGGCAACGAAGGTCCCGCATGCCTGAACTAAGACCTGATGCAGCCAAATAAATAATTTCTAAAAAGATACCCTGAGAGATGCTAAATGAGTCTTGTTGTTCTAAGCCACTAAATTTGGGAGCGACTTGCTCTACAGGAATAGACAATAATGGAAAGGAAATGTTGGAACCTGTGACAGTGTATGCAAATCATGATATATGTGAATATACATGACATTTTTGTTTCTTGGTTCATCTTTTGTTGAACAAATAAGAGGCCCCTTGAGAAAGACTCCGGCTCCTCCATCAGCTCTGCTTGTCATCCCAGGCTTATCTGTGCCCATGGCTCACCTTCTGAGACAGGTCATGGGTTTTCTGTTGCTGCCACCAACAACACAGATGTGTTATCCTCTCAGTGTGTAGGTTGGAAGTCTGACATGGGCCTCAACAGGCTAAAATCAAGGTATCAGAGGTCACATTCCTTTCCGTGGATCTGTTTCTGTGCCTTTTCTAGCTTCTGGAGGATGCCTGCTCTCCCTGGCTCGTGGCCTGTTCCTCCATCAATTTCACAGTCAGCAAAGTTGAGTTGAATTGTTTTCACATCACATCGATCTGACCCCTTCCTTTGCCTCCTCCCACTTCCCAGGACCTTTATGACTATATTGATCCCATCTGATAATCCAGGCTCATTTGCCAATTTCCTGATCATATGATTGATAACCTTAGTTCCATCTGCAACCTTAATTCCCCTTTGCCATGTAGGGTAATATATCTGTAGCTTCCAGGCATTGTGATATATTCTGTGTGTAACACATTAATAGACTCTACCACTGTCCAATATGTGTTTTCTGTTGACTATTTGGGGTTGTCGATATAATGGGAATTGCATTTGAATCTACCTATGTGTAACTAGCAGGGTTTTCAAAAGAAATATTGGGTTGCAAGACTCAGCCTTGGACCCACCCACACCCACACCCTTAGTGCCAAGTAGCATTTGAAACTCTTGAGATTTCTGTAACCTAAGTCCCCTACCACTAACAAGCTCAGAATTCCCCATAGGAACCCACGGCCCCGTTCCAAAGGGATGGAAAACAGAAACACAGAAGAACACAGCCTTGAAAGACTTCATTTCTTTTGCATCTATATTTTTAGGTTATTCACAAGGTTAAAAGAATATCTTTCTAATATGTAGAGTAAACAAGGTGAGCAGTAGTACCATT